AAAAATGTCATTGGGAGAATGAAGGCAAGGTTTACATAATGTGCCATTCTTTCCAATGTCCTTTGCTAACTTTACCACATAAAGCAACATCATATGGATAGCAAAAGAGAGCTCTCACACTTCTGTCCCTTAATATATAAATCTCTAATAAAGCCTTTGTTTATCTCACTTTCTTTGTACCATTTTCCCAGACTACAAAATGTCAGGTTCCTATAATTCATTCAAAATTTTTGAAAGATTTTGCTTTTACTAATAATATTCTTGGCATTGTTAAACTGATTAATTAGCATATTGTTTACCCTTTCCAAAAACTGAATCACGATTTCCTTTTTGGCTTCAATTGTATTATCCAAATGACTGAGCCACAATTCAAGTTCCTTCCCAGTGTACTCAAATACTCCACTGTCATGCAAAACCTATTAAGAAAACAAGTATTATACATACATTTTAACTGCTATTTCTGTAGAGCAACTTTTTACAGACTGCTAACAAAAGCTGATGGCAGGTTAGTCATTTACCATGACCTTTTCCATAAAAGTCTGCTATGCTTTGCTAAAAACAAGTTTATTGTACTGTAATACAGATTCTATTAAAGAAGTGTGAAAGCTTCCTGCTTCTCTTCTTTCACCATTTTACATTACCTATATCATTTCAGAAATTTAATTTTTTAAACTGTTTCTACAATGTTTGCACCAGTAATTAATGCAAACTGCAACTGCAATCTCTAAGATAGATGCAAAAGCAATGTTAATCACCAACAATCTTAAACATATATAGCTTTCACACATGCATCTCTATTAGAGGATTGTATGTGCAATCAGGTTCTGCACAAGCATTTCTTCAGCCCAGTTCAATAGTCAAAAGAGTTGTGCTAGCATGCAGACTGTTACTTGTTTATAGCAAAGCAGCTGTTTTGAATGTTAAGCAAGCAATGTTTACTTTTCATTTATAATAGATAGCAAAATGAGTCATCTGAATGTTTATAAGGACTATTTTTAGCATCTAGTTTTCAGATGGCAGACAGTGGGAAATAATTACTATCTCCCCTCCACATCCAGAGACTGCTGAAAAGAAAACCTCAAATTCCCAAAGGTTCACCACAAATGCATCTTCCAGTTTTAGTTCAGTCCTACAGAACATTCTGTATATTATTCCATGCTCTGATCCAACAGCTGTGCAAATGTTAAATGAAGGTTTGCTAATCAGTCTCACTGCCACTATACAATTGAAACAACTCTTGGCAAGCTAAAGAAGGCATTCATAGTTTGCCACTTTCAGACTATGCAAACAATGGCTCCTGAAAAATGGCATGCCAGCATTGTACAGGAAACAAAAGTTGGCTGGAAGCTTCCCACATTATTTAATTTTTTTTGACTCACTTGCTGAAAGAAACCCATTAAGAAATAAACTTGTCCCTCTTATGGATAGAACAGTTGATAGGAGAGCGTATTACAAAATGGAGGATGCTCACTAAAATGTAAATGTAAGGGTTGCATGTGCTGATAGATACTAAAGAGAGGTATAGTTTATAAAAGCAAATATTTTGTTAAATGGATTATGATGAATGAAAAATAAAGAAACTTGAAGACATCCTTGTTGAAGTTATTCTGAAAAAAATTACTTGCTTAGATGCATAAATAACTGGTTTCACATATCAAACTAAGTTATCATCTAATTTATATGTTTTTTGTAACATGCGAACCTAACTACTGTAATGATAAATAAGATTTAGTATAAGGTATACATCTAGCCACTATTGATCATTCAGCAAACCACAGTTAAAATAAGTTATAGATTTGCCTGATATATGAACCCAGTCAGTAATTATATCCTGCTCCAACGGTTATGGACTCTGGTTGGGAACAATAAAAGTAACGAACTAATTCTTTGCCAAAAATAGTTGAATTAAAAGTCTTAATTTAAAAAGTAAAGGCAAAGCCTTTTCTTTTAAACAGTCCCAACAATATGTCATTTTTGTTATACTGAGATTGCAAACATTTATCAATTTAATTAGTAAGTTAACAGTCCAAAATATCCTAGTAAGTTCCATGGAGTTCACTGGAATTTAGTTGGGTACAGGGCCACAATATCGCAGCTAAATTTAAAAAAGACTTTGACTTGACATGTTTGTGATATTTATTTATTTTTCATACTTTTTAAGTGCCCATCTCCCTCAGATGGTTTTTAGCTCTACTATTTCCTTTCTTAAGGCTGCAATCCTAAGCATACATTAAAAAGGGCTACCATTTAATTAAGTGAAGTTTATTTCTGAATAAGCATGCAAGACACTAAAAACATAAAATATAGCCTTCATATTCAAACAAATAGTAGCTTCTATTAAGAACTTATCTCATATTTCTTTCAATATAATCAAGAAGCCCTATACCGCAAAGTTACTTAAAAATGTCTTCTAAACTATTGAAATTGAGAAATGAACAAATCAAGGTAACATTTAAAAACTATTCTTTTTGGGGGGAAATTTAAAAGCCAACTGTGAGGCTAGAAAGGGAGAAAAAATACAACATCCTTCATAATTGAACTTCCAATAAAAAATGTTTTTAACTTAGTGAGCAGTTTCACAAGTACTCAGTATTCTGGACCAGAAGATGAGAACTTGCAGAAAGCAAGTCTGCTTTTACACTCAGCTTATTAAGAAGATACACTAAAAGCAGCAATAATTACAACAGGTAAGATATGAAAAGGTTTTTGAGGGGAACTTTTTTTAAAACAAGTTTCCCTCAAAAACCTTTTCATGTCTTATCTGTTTCTTTAAGTGTTTCTTTAGAACTCCAGTTTATTTGTTAATGGTCTGTCATTTCAGTTCTAATAAAAGTTCAGCTCACAATAAGTAAAAGCATCTAGCAAACCATGGCTTATTGTGACTAAACTGAGGGGCTGATTCTGAAATGGGAGACCATCAATAAAATCCATTTCTATGGGTAAGAGTTGGAAACAGAAAAAGAAATCCTGGAAAAAAGGTAGCGGCAAACCACTTGTATATTATTGTCAGGGCAAATATATTGGTAGTCCTCAACATAGGATGTTAGGCAAGCTGCACCCAATTTTATGATTTTTTTTTGCTATGGTTCAGCAAACCATACAGTCATTAAATGAATCTTGTCTTCCGAGGGGACTTCTGACAAGCAAAGTCAATGTGGGGGGAAACTGGACTTGCCTAATAATAATAATAAAGTTGGAATTAACCTTGGAGGTCATCTAATCCAACCCCCTGCTCAGGCAGGAAACCCTGTACCATTTCTGACAAATAGCTGTCCGGTCTCTTCTTAAAAATTTCCAGTTAGAGCATTCACCGCTTCTGGAAGAAAGTTGTTCCACTGTTTAATTGTTCTAACTATCAGGAAGTTTCTCCTTAGTTCTAGGTTGCTTCTCTCTTTGATTAGTTTCCATCCGTTGCTTCTTGTCCTGCCTTCAGGTGCTTTGGAAAATAGCTTGATTCCCTCTTCTTTGTGGCAACCCCTGAGATATTGGAATACTGCTATCGTGTCACCCCTCGTCCTTCTCCTCATTAAACTAGACATACCCAATTCCAGCAGCTGTTCCTTATATGCTTTAGCCTCCAGTCCCTTAATCATTTTTGTTGCTCTTCCCTGCACTCTTTCTAGAATCTCAACATCTTTTTTACATCGTGGTGACTAAAACTGGATGCAGTATTCTAAGTATGGCCTTATCAAGGCATTGTAAAGTGGTATTAACACTTCATGTGATCTTGATTCTATCCCTCTGTTAATGTCCCTCTATGTTGGCTTTTTTGGCAGCTGCAACACATTGCTGGCTCATATTTAAGTGATCATGTGATTCACTTAATGACTGCAAGGACTACCTGTACATACTTTTTTATATATAAGCTATTTTAATATTGAACTCTGCCTGGAGATGTTTGACATGACAGGCAGAACATTGTATTTTAATCTCATAAGCCAGTCTGGTACAGTGGTTAAAGAGACCAGACTAGAAATTTTGAGACTGTCAGTTCTAGTCCCACCTTAGCAGAAGAAAGTTGGTGACCTTGGGCTAGTCACTCTCTCTTAGCCCTAGGAAGAAGACAGTAGGGAACCATGTCCAAAAATCTTGCCAAAATAAACATATGGAATTGTCCAGTTGTTATCCAAGACTGACTCAAAAGCAAGAAGAAAAAAAAGATAATTTTTAAAAGTGTTAAGGGACTATCTTCTGGGAACAGTAGATTCAAATAGCAAGTGGTATATTGTTCAGAAAATAAAAAGTTGCTTCTATTGCTAACTTCTAAATTCAACCTTCTAAAGCAGCATTTCACAACCCAGGGCTTTACAGATACTTCTACAGATGATGCAAGTTACACTCCAATGTATGTGGAAGGTACCTAGTCAAGAAAGACTTATCAGGTTCTATGGCATGATCTCTGCTTTCACTAGGAAAATAATAACTCACCTTAAAAATCAATTTCTTGGTTGCTGTTTTGAGCTGTGAATGGGGACTGGTTACAAACATTTTCATCAGGAGGTAAAATACAGATCTTTCACCAAAAACCTTCTCAGCTGCATCCTAAAAGAACACATTTGCATTGGTCATAGTTGAATTATTCTAGGTCACATCTCAGAAACATAAAGCCCAGTAACTAATATTTTACATTAAATACACACAATAAATACCTAAAGTAAATGTATAGCAGGATCAGATAAACACAGGTAGAACTCGACTTATGACCACAATTGAGCCAAAATTTTTGTTGCTAAATGAAACATTTGTGAAGTGAATTTTGCCCCATTTTATCACTCTTCTTGCCACAGCTGTTAAGTGAATCACTGCAGTTATTAAGTTAGTATCATGGTTATTAAGTGAATCTGGCTTCCCCATTGACTTTGCTTGTAAGAAGGTTGCAAAAGGGGATCACGTGACCTTGGGACACTGCAACGGTCATAAATATGAGTCAGTTGCCAAGCATCTGAATTTTGATCAGGTGACCATGGGGATGCTGCAATGGTTGTAAGTGTGAAAAATCGTCACAAGTCACTTTTTTCAGTGCCGTTGTAGCTTTCAATGGTCACTAAATGAACTGTTGTAAGTTAAGGACTTCTTATAATGAAGCATAGCATGAATCAATATTTTCATATTCCATATTTTTAATTGGAGAAGCAATTGTGCATTTTCTAACAGCAAAATACAATATGTACAAATGTTATCTTTATAAAACCAATCAAAATGTCACAAAACAGTAATGAAGCCTGCAAGACTTGGCAACCCGTGACTATGTGCAATCAAGTTGATGTCAATTTTTAGTGACCATACAGACATATTTCCTACAGGATGATCAGTTCCCCAACATGGTACACTGCCCAGAGTCACCTCTTGCAAGATGGAAAGCCATATAAATGTATTCTATATAATAAACAAAATATAATAATGTCCAACAATGTACCCAGTGCTGCTGTAATTAAGTCCATCTACATTGCGGTCTTCCTCTTCTTCTCTTTCCTGCCATCCTTCAAACATTATAGAATTTATAAGACAGTAAGGTCTTCACATCATGTGTCCAAACTAGGATAATCTGAGTCTGAGCATTTCTGCCTTAAATGAAACTATAAACTGAGGATTACTCATACCTGTTAGTTTGGTCTTTTTCATATTTAAACTTAGTCCAATTTTTTCACTGTGCTTCTTGACTTTCATTACTAAAGACTGCAGGTCATTTGCATGTTCAGTTATTAGAATAGTGTCACCAGTATAGAGAAGGCTCCTCACGTTTCTCCCTTCTTTGGTATTGGCATATAGACTGAATTTTTTAAATCAATTATTATCTGTTCATGGACACCCTTTACCAATTCAAGGTTGGAATCACCTTCTGAGTTCAGAGATCTTTCAGAAGCCTTTGCTTTTCCTTATCTGTTTTCATTTTCACCGTCTTTACATGTGGTTGTAATATTGCCCCTTGTCCCTTATAACAGCACTCTGAAATTCTTTGTTAAAGTTCCCTCCTGGTATCTTTGGCTTTCTTGGTGTTGGTTTTTCTCTCCATGGCATTTTTTGCAATTTGCTCTACATCCAATTTCATCAAATTTCTTCCTTCATCTTTGTAGCAATCTCTTCATATTTATTCCTTATTTCTTTGATTGTATTTCACATTCTGGTTCCTTGTCAATAATGTTCAGGACTCTAAAGGAATTTCTAACATTCTTGAAAATGGTGAGTATATGTTCAAAATTATGTAGACTGGTCAACTTTATTTTTCTGTTTAGGTTGGTGATCTGTTTTCTACAACACCCCTGGCCGTATCTTCACTGTTATAACTGATCTCTTCCACTAAGTTTGATTCCTGTTTACTTCCATCTGGTGAGGTCCATATATAAAGACATCAATTTGGTTGTTGAAACCAAAGAAATCATTAGATTGGCAAAAATTGGTAAGTCATTCTCCTGCTTCCTGTTTCACAGGCCATAGAATCTAACTACATTCTCTCATTATTTCCAACTTCCAATTCCAATCTCCAACCACAAGCAGCATATTTTGCTTGCATGTCCTCAATGTTGTTGATTTCAAATTGAACTCATCAACCTCCCCTTCTTGCATCAGTGGTTAAAGTGAAAACTTGGATAATCGCCATATTAAAGGTTGCTCACAAAATTTAATTCATATTATACACTCACTGATTGCACTGTAGTCAAGTACTGTTTTTGCAATAATCTTCCAACAATGAAATCAACACCTTTTTTTGTTTTATATCCTTAGTAGTAAATAGTATGTTCTGACTGAAAAATGCTCACCAATCCATTTCAATTTGTTGAAGCCTAAGTTGTCAATGTGTAGTTTGTTCATTTCATCTTTTACTATGTTTTCCCATGTTCATGCTTTTTATGTTTCATGTTCAAAGGTTTTTTTCCCCCTACATAGCAATATCACTGCTGTCCTATAGAGATTCCTGCTTGCTTTAGATTTTACCAAGGAGCAAATCTTCCTCTTATATAGTGTAAACAGAACTTTAAACAACACACAAATCTCTTTTCAAAATGATGTTTATGCAGCATTACAGAGATGGCAGAGACATAGAAGGTCAGCACAGCAAAGGAGACAGCTTACAGCTGGTGATGAATACAGAAACAGACATAAATCTGAACATCTTATATATCACTCTTACCTGTATTCTGAACCAGGAAAACTTATTTGCAGGCAGTTCAAGAGCCAGTCTGAGAATATTATAATGCAGAACAGGAGGAATTTTCTGTTGCACTCCTTTTTCAGTAAAAATACCTATGATTTGAAAAGTGTACTGTTGCTGATTGAAGTTAAGACAAAGATAAAATAACCAAACCAAATAAAAAAACCAAATAGCATTATACATTAAGATATTTGGATAGCAAGATGGGCAGCATATATATTTAATAATAAATAAAATATTTTAGCATCACAACACTGTTATCTATCTATCTATCTATCTATCTATCTATCTATCTATCTATCTATCTATCCATCCATCCATCCATCCATCCTCTATTTCACACATTTATTTACCTATGTATGACTATAGTATTACTATTTATTCTTCTTGTTATCTTGTTTACTCCCCCTTATTGTTATTGTTTTTGTTCTTTTTATTGTTGTTATTATTGTTGTTGTTGTTATTTTGCTTTGCATGTACCCTGAGAGCTTCTGCACTGGAGACAAATTCCTTGTGTGTCTAATCACATTTGGCCAAATAAAGTATTCAGTTCAATTCAATAAAGTATTCAATTTCTAGGACTGCCTGACTCCCAAAAAATTGTGGGTGACTTATACATTTAAACAGGGAGAGTATTAAAAATACATCACAAACAAGACATCACAAACACAATATTAAAAAAGACATCAGTAGCCCAGACAAACAATAAACACGTACTCTTCCCTATTACACCCAGCCTAAAGGAGCTTGACAACCACCCTAATTCAAGACCTGCAGGAACAGTCAGGTTTTCAAAGCTGTTTAAAATTGCTGTGGAGATGGTATTCCAAGATCCCAGTCTCTCACTCTTATTACAGTTGAATTTGAACCTGTTTCTCACCCAGCAGTCTCCAGGTGGTGGAACAAAACCTGTAATCAGCTGAACCCCAACAGAGTATCTCGCCCAGCAGCTTCATGTGTAGAGGGGACAACCTTAAAGCCCTGAGACACCCCATAAAGTAGGGGTTTGGATTTTATTTTTTCTCGTCTTCTACCAATTATCAATTGGGACTGTCTGTAGAAAAAGGAGAACCACCACAATTCCATGTCTCCTACTACCAATTTCTGTCCTCAGTCCAGAAGGATACCATAATCAATTATACTGAAAGCTACCAAGGCATCAAGGAGTGTCAGGATAGTTATACCTCTCTCATCCCAGCTTTGCATTCCCAATGCAATCAATGGCATCCTAGTGCTGTGCTTCAGCCTAAAGCATGACTGAAGGGTTTTACATTCTATCTCCCCCTGTCCATCACAATACTGATGTGAATATGAATTTTAAAAGTTTTAAAAGTTTGGGAAAATGAAATCACTAAATCTAAGATTTCCTGGGGAGAAGATTCTAAAGTTTTAGGGCACCAAACTCAAGAATTCAATCAACATTTTTAATGCTCATCTGCATGTTTCAACTGTCCCTATCTTTAAATTATATTAACAGTTGCAATTTTAATCTGATAGCTCCAACAGATTCTCCAGACTTTTCAGCAACCTCCTAAACCTCAGTCTCCAGTAATAGATAATAATGTAATGGCTCAGGTTCAAGCTATCACAGCTCAGCTGCAGACCATGACAACACAACCATCAGAACAAAAGCATGATTTCCAAATACCAGAACAAAAAACATCTTTTGATAAGGTAGTATTTTTCTTCTACTTGAAAAGGAATTACCCAAATATCTTGTTCCAGGAGAAATCCATGTCAAACTGTAGTTTAGTGCTGTCAGAACAAGCCTGAAGGCATCTCCTTGCATTCCCTCCTTTCATATGCCTGCAAAAATTCCATCTTCCATTTCTGTCTTTTGATAAACCATAATGTTGGGCTATCTATGGAGTCTTATAACTTTTTAGAGTGTCTGGCTATATGTAAAATTGTTGCTCTTTCTGAAACAATACAGTCCTGTGGTTCATTTTTTTTTTTAAAAAGTTAAGTCTTATTGCATTAATTGCATTAATTTCAGGTGTGCATATAGCAGTCATGATGCAGATAAGCAATTGATACTGACTCTTTAATATTTGAGATGATACAAGCCATGATTTAGCTCTGATTAGTACTTTATCTGACCTTTGGCCTAGATAACATTGCTGTTCTTAAAATTGTTGAAATGTCTGGAAAAAGTAGAAGAGAGAATTAAAGCTAGTTCTGGCAGGTTTAATGGCTAGGTTAGGTTTTAAACAAGTAGTAATACTTAATTGGATTTCCAGTTTCAACTAAACTATTTATTTCAGCTTTGCTCTTCTAATTTAATGGACCATTTTCTAAGATTGAGGAGGCAAGGGGAAAAGACTGTAATACAACTGGGTTTTGGGGGGCCAACCAAGGTATAGTTTGAGGATTGCGGCTGCTTCCTTAATCATACATTTGGAAAATACTTACAAAAACTTATATCATCAGTAACATGTTTAGTTTACTGTTCTATTATTATAGAAGAACATAGAATTGGCTCAATGTAATATATTTCAGAAGCTGTTGGATGGCTTTGACTATGATGATGAACCAGAAGCAGTAGAAGATACAAAAAAAGAAGAGGCCACACCTTCTCCTTCACTCTCTCAACCAACATTGTATGTTTTGTTTTGTTTTGTTTTGACAACCATAAACAGATTTTAACATCAAGGGGATAATATAGAAATCTAAAGTTCATAGGTGATCTGCATCACTTTTTGGAATTTATGATTAGTGCTTTATACTATAATGTTTTGGTATGTAATTATCAGTTTGTTGAAAAATTGTTCAGTTCCAATTGAATATTTACACACTTTATACTATTTTAACTGAAATCTTAATTTTGACCAAAAAAATGACAAATGCTAAAAAGCAAAATGGAAATTATAGTTAAAATGGACCGGGGAATATGGAGTCAATTGAAAACTGTTCTCATGGGAAGGGAACATTGATGTTGTTTTGAACCAGCTATACAAAATATTGCATTATTGAAATCCTGTTGAATTTTTTTTTACACCTTAGTGGATTTCCAGGTGAAGGCTTACAACCACCAGTTTATCCTCAGCTTCCAAATATAGATCAGTTTCAGCAGAGAATGCTGGGAATGCAACAGGATGCAATGCTTCACCAGGTAATGGAAACATTTCCATTAGATTAATTCTTATTTTTTCAAAATATCTAACTATCTGTCTGTCTGTCCGTCTGTCCGTTGGTCCGTCCGTCCGTCCATCCATCCATCCATTCTTATATAGCAGCCCATCTAATGCAGTAGCGTAAGTATACTCATCTTGCAGGTTGCTAGATAAAGTGCTAGACAAGACTCTCTTTTATAAATATTATTTTCAGTGTATTCTTTAGCCCATTTAGCCAGAACATACTTAATATTACCTTTTATTAATTTGCTAAAATCAAAGTTGCTCTGTGCTACTAAGTGAGGAACAACTTGTTGATAAAGGCATATAACTTGAAGTAAAACAGCTTTCAGAAGAGTGATTTCTACATCATCCAAGCCTAGAAAAATCACAGATTGACAGATATTTAAAAAAAGAAAGAGATTCCATAAAATAAAATCCCACTTTATGATTTCAGTGATTTTTTTTCTCTAATCATAGTACAATCTGAAAAATAGTGGCCACCAATATATGCAATTTAAAAAAGAATCAACTAACAGCATATCTAGGACAGTGTTTCCCAAACTTGACAATTTTAAGGCATGTGGACTTCAACTCCCAGAATTCCACAGCCAGCGTTGCTGGCTGTGGAATTCTGGGAGTTGAAGTCCTCATGCCTTAAAATTGTCAAGTTTGGGAAACACTGATCTAGGAAATTAAAATGATAATTCTAACAGTTTAATCCTGGCTCTTTTGGTGTTTGGAATGAACTCTACTCCCTCTTCTGGATCAGTAATCATTGCCAGCATAGTTATAGCAGTGTTTGGTGAAAAAGAAAATTACAAAAGTATTGATGCATAAGACTTTTATGTCTAAATGAGAAGAAAAACAACACTAGCAGGACTGTTTCTCTGCCAAGTCGGAATATGCAAAATGAAGAACTGTTAAGGAATATATTTCTTAAAAACAAATGATACTTGCTTTGTACTAAATAATATGGTTTGCTAGTTATTGACTTTGCATGATTTATCAGCATAGCCCCTGTGGAGTTATAAGCCATGGTTTATTAAATAGTCAACTCTATGAATCCATAAAATAGTAATTCAATAGTGCTTTACACTATCCAGGAATTAGTGTGAAGGGTAAAGTAGGACATTAAATTGCCTTCTGCTTGCCTTTTATAGAAAACTTCCTTAGTTGCCTTGCTGCAAGAATCTCTTCATTCAGAATTATGCACAGATTGATCTGTTAACAGTCTGTAATACAGGGGTTTCAGAAAGGAAATCTAATAATTTTATCCGATACTATTAAAATATAACTTTCACATTAAATGGAGCTTGTCAAAGATCAACTAAGGGCCATCATGAATTATCAGGTTTTTTTCGGTTGCTGGGTTAAAAGAACAAATCTGTAAGTACATAAAATGACCAAAGTTTCCTTACCGTGCTCTTTGTTAGTTTCATTTGTTTCCTCCATATAAGAAGCAGCTTCTGTTCCTCTCTTTTTCTGTCCTTCCTGAGCCTTATCTTGCTTTAGAAAGGACTGCCAGACGGCGATTATGTTAGTCATATCTGGTAAAAGCTAGATTTTAAAGAAGATTATGTTGTACAAAGCAGAAGTAGAGGAGAAAAATCAGAAATCTGCATTTATGCAAAAATTTTCAGGTTATTATCTGTTTTGAATATATTAACAAAGATTATTTTTTTACTATAAATTACTTTAATCTGTTATGATTGTTCTCCTATTCAAATTTGATTTCTTCTATTTAATTTCTTACTTGCCTGCTCTTACATTCATTCCACTGTAGCTCCCAAACAATAGCTAAAGCTTGAAGATTGGACATTTGTAGCCAGGGGATATAATGGATTCATGTATGACAATTATCATACATACTTATGACAGATTTGGGACACAAGGACATATATATGTCATTAGTATGGCAATCATCAAGGAGTACTGCAGATACCACTAGGATAAGGGAGTCATAAAAGGGGAAACTGTAAATGTGTACTCATTCCAGTAGATCTATGACTATGTCTGTTGCCCCATATTTCAGATGGCTAATTAAGAAAATGTTATTTTGTCTTGTTTACATTATTTGAAGAACTATACTTTAAAACTCGGCTCTAATATAAACATGGAATTAAATTTGTGAAGTTTTTAAATATTGTTAAAACAAAAGAACGTTTACAGCTTCTTCCAAATCAATAATTAATATATAGGCCAATATACACCTAATGAGTTACCTCTAGATATTTATATCCAGAGCTGCCAGAAAAAAAGGAGAAAGAATCAAGATAAAAGCATTTCTTGTTCATCAAACTGCAGGTCAAGCCTGTTTTTCATTTTTTAAAAGACTGTACCTTACTAAGCACTTCCCGGTACTGCTGAACAAATTCCTTCATGATTAATGGAGTATAGATTTCTGACTTCTCCCATATCTTCTCATTTTGACAATAGTCTATATTTTTCAGTGCTCTTTTCAGAATAGTTGTTATAAGTGAAAAGATAGTATGCTTCACTGTTTTACTGGCTATCTAAAATTAAAACATGAAACAATTACTTAGCTTTACCTTCATCTTGCACAATTTAACAATGTTCTCTAAAGTTAACTAGTAACAACCTACAGAAACGAAGGGGAAGCAAGTCAACTATAAGTATAGGTGAGAGGAAAGAGGAAAAAAAAGGATGCATCAAATGAATTAGAATCAAAAAAAGAGATATAAACCCAAATATCTCTTTAAATAGAAAGACTTTTAAAAGTAGCATGCTCGGTCTGTTTTGACACAGGGCCTCTCTTAGGGAAATCAGTTATTACGATCCACCACCAATATGATCCAATGAAATGTTGCAATGAATTGCTGTTTAAAATTAACAGAAGATGCAAAGCAAGAAACTGGAGCCATGGGCTAGATTCGTACACTGTGTTATACCATAATGTAGTTTGTTTATGGCGTTACTGCAATATTTGAACCAGATGGCTTATTCAATAAATCAGGTTTTAAAAGTCCTGATGCAATACATTTGTAAAAATAATAATGGTGGGATATAAATAAAAAACAAATAAACAAAGCATGATAGTAAAAATACTGAATGAAAAATTTCATACTAACCTAAAAGCATTCATGTTCTTAAGTTAAAGTGAAAATAGACTTGGGAAGAAATAGATACTATGTTGTGGACACAGATACCAAGATAATCAAAGTTTACAAAATAACAATGCTGTGGGGAGAGTATATATTTAGTTACAAACAGAAATTGAAATGATTAATGTACCAATAATTCTCTGGCAATAAATGTATTTTTAAAAACCATGTCTGTTTTCACCTTGTTTCAAGAATTTCAGATACCACACTAGCCCATTTTATCTTGCATGTAGATTAGGCAAACAATGTGGTCTCAAGCTGCCCAAAGATCTGTATGAATCAGGATGCCCTTATTATACACAGCACTTACTGCTTTTCAGTAATATAGCAGTATACAGTGCAGGCTTCAAAAATTATTCAGAAGCCTGGAAGAATGTAAAATGATGAAATGCTTTAATGAGTCAACTTATTAAAACAGTGGTATCTTTTCATGCTCATTTACAAACTTGCAAAAATATACAACGAACAAACAGACAAAAATCTCCATATGCCTTCTCTGACCACCCTGACGGAGAAAGGGGGAGAATATCAGCCTGAGAACTGCATGAATCGGTTTTCATGATGCATTTTTTTCTTTGTTTTTAAAAATATACTGTTAGTACAGTAGGAAAGGGAAAGTAGGAGAGAATAGAACGATCACACTTAAGAGTGTAGCATCATCAAAGCTCACACCAGCCAGAGCACAGAACAACTCAAAGAAGCAATGCAAGATCAGAAGATATGGATACACTTGGCCTATGGAATCGCCAAGAGTCGAACACAACTGAATGGAAAACATCATCATCATCATCATCATGTGGACTAAATACTTACATTTAAGCCTTGGGTGAACATGACCTTGTTGCACACTGCAGGTACTGTAGTCACTTTCACCATAGAAAGCAATTTAGGAAGTGGAATAAACTCAGTGGTTTTAAAAGCATTGGAAATGTCTGGCTGAGCCTCATAGATCTGAAATTAAAAACAAAAAGCACGAATATACAAATAAATGTATAATACAGATACACAAACCCAAGTGATGCAATTACGGCTGTAGTCAATTCAGCTGGATTCATGATGGTCTAAATTCCCAATTGCAGATAAAAAGAAAAAAAATGTAGAGCTGGAAAAACTGGCAAAAGAGGTCATTACAGAAGCAGGAAAACGCTTACTAGTTTGAAGCTAATTAGGGAAGCACACTGCTTCAAGTATAGCATTTGAATTCCGTGTTTGCAGATCTTGCTGAAAAAACAATATTCAGCAAGATCTGCAAACACGGAATTCAAATGCTATACTTCCCTTGCACTAAAAACCAACCTAGGGCCTACATGCCAGAGCTAAAGTAATCATCAGCAAAAATAGGCCTCAGCATTGCAGAACGCACAAGAGTTTTCTTGCCACTGTAATATGCCAAAACAGTACTGTATACTGCTGGCTTTGCTACTTGGTATGTTGGAAGTTTATAGCAATAGCGTTTATGCTTATAAACTGCCCCATAGCGCTTTACAACACTCTCTGGGCAGTTTACAATGTCAGTATGTTGCTTCCAAAAACCTGGATCCTCCTTTTACCCAGGGATGGAAGGATGGAAGGCTAAGTCCAACCTTTATGGAAGGCTTTTACTGTGGTGTTTTAGTGATTTTTGTCGTAAGGCAATTTTGTCTGGGCCATACAAATTTGAGATTTGATAAAAAAAAAATCTCTCAATATGCTGCATATATATGTACTGCATATATACTGCACCTTCAGCAGTGAGCAGCAGCATAAAAGACAAGATAAAAAGAACAATAACCTACAACCCCTCAAGGCTTCTTAGCCATACTATAAATAAATTGGGGGGAAGGGAGCAGGGGAGAGGGATTACAGATATGAATCCTTTTCTATTAACTGTACTCTCACTTGATGTTTAAGATTTTAGTTATATCATTGTCACCTTTTGAAGTAAGAGGGACCTCTGTTAATGATCTTTCCCCAAACATCCTCCCTCACCTTTTATCACACTTTCCTATGTCTGTCCCTCACAAACCACATTCCCATAAAATTATAGCAACCAAAATCCACCAAGCTGGTAAGATACACAAGGGAAGGCTGATCTAATAACTTTCAGGCTGACTACATTTTCCACAT